CGGCGACTCCTTCGCGCCCCGCTGGCGGTCGTAGAACTGCTGCCTGCATTCCGCGGAAGGTCCGTAGACCCCGGCCAGCAGCTGCAGCGCCATCGGTAGCGTAGAGCGCTTCTCCTTCGGCGCTGATGTGAGGGCGGCGAGCGCGTCGCCGTCGAGGAGCGCCGGCAGCGCGCAGAGAGCTTCAGCATCTGTCCATTTGGCCATTTCTTGGTGGGCGAGGAAGCGTCGCTGGAAGCCGCCCCAGTCGCCTTCTGCGCCCACAAATTCTTTAAGCGGAGGCAGTCTTTGGTGCAGCGCAGCGGTTGCCGTGGAGTCCCGCGGGCTGCTGTCTCCCCGACTCGGCTGTGTCTCGGCGCGAACGGCAGATGGTATCGCCTGTCGCAGCCGTGATGACGCGCCCTCCTCCGTCGTTGACGCGGCAGCCCCAGCGCGGCCGATGTCGGACCTGAGGTTCAGGCTGGCCACGCCCCTAGCGATCGCCGCGTCGATGGCGGGAAATTCAAAGTTTGAATCTCCGGAAATGGCGGGAAGGCGCTCCGGACGCCGGCTCCCCTCGCCCCGCGGTGGACCACCAGCCCCCAGCCGCGTGATGTTTTCCAGCGTGGCGGCAGCGGCGTAGAGCAGTTCAGCCAGCCTCTCGTGAGCCAGCCTCAGCTCGTCTGTCCGCGGCCCCTCTTCATGCCGACGCTCCGGTAAGAACGCGTCCGGCCCCGGCTGCACGATGTCTTGTTGAGCCATCTCGGGCTCGACAATTTCGGCGGCGTCTTCCATTTGTTGTACTTTGGCCCGAGCTGATTGGCGCGTGTCCATGTTCGTAGTTCTTCTGACACCAGATGAAGTACTCTTGAAGACGCTTGGACACCGTAGTAAGGCACACGTGTTTATTTACACAATGGTCGTACAGCACTGGAGGGGTGTATCGGCCCCCTCACCCGTATAACTGGGGATACACCTCTAGCTATCCTTCCTACCCCGAGTCCTCCACTAACGGGCTAGGGGAGGCTGTCTGGCCCGACACTGGTCAGTCGGGCTACGGTACCCGGAGTCCCAGAGTACTGACTCTGGTTCACGGGACCACGCCACTGGCTCCAGCCTGCGCTGCCCTGATAAGGGCGGCGTCCCAGGGGGAGTCCAGGGCCTATCTGGTCGGTCTTCCGTCTTCCCCTAATTACTCTAAGACTGAACCCCGAGCTCTCTGGCTCATCCCTTTTTATACCCCCCTAGAGGATCACAACCCCCCTCACGCCGTCCGGTGCGGACGTCGTTGCGGGCACCACCCCGTGTACTCGCGGAGTCCCCGCCCACTGTGTTTGTTATCCGTTAGCTCCTATGCAAACAGCCCTACACAAACAGCCCCTCTGTAACAGCCCTACACATGTAGAGGATTAATCGCCGATTTGGAAATGATCAAATACAATTATAATAAATGAACTCAATACCCATGAAGTATAATGAACTCCAGACTCGTGAATTGTAATACACTAACTCAATATAAGTGAATTATAATAACTTAGCTATAATATATTGTGTCAATGGAAATACATTGTAACGAATGAATTTGGTTTAAATGAATTAACACACTAAACATAGTAATACATCACACGAATGAACTATCTCAAAGCCGTCTTCCCATGGAAGACTCATATCACAAGCACATTAGCTCTAACTTAGCATGTCTGTGAATGTAATATTTAACGTCTATTATTTGAACCCTTTATGTGCGCAGTAATTAATTCACTGCACTTATCACAGCGATTGTAACCACTATAAAACTACGCTATTACAAATTCCCCATACAATTCTCACAAATCACCTACTCTACCAAACGATGTCATTTCTAACTCAATCATGTGAAAATAAAAAAACCCTTGATGAAAATTAAGACTGTTTAAAACTTGTAACAGGGGGGGGCTCTTGACCTCATGGCCCACTAAATCGTTTCCGTTGATACTTTAAACTCAACACTTTACGACGCTTATACACCACCCCTATTCATTGTGACATCATTTTAACGGCGCCCCAACACAAACACCGACACACGCACGTGGCCGTTACAAACAAAAAAAAGCGCACCTTCACTGGACGCCATTTTAAACCAGTCACGTGACAGGTGGTGGGCGGAGCTCCCCGCGTGACGACCCCCCCCCACCCTTAAGCTGCCCGTAAGCAACTAAAGTCGCCTTAAATGGACAAACCGCGATGTTGAATACAACAATATTACATTTATATTCCATAGCACACCGACTCCATTGAGATATATAAGATGAGAGGGGAGGAATTAAAATAATCGGAAGAATCACAATATACATTTATACTGGAGGAATCCGATGAGCTATGAAGCTCTTTTTCAGTAGGGACGGGTAAGAACCTTCCCACAACAGAGAATAGAAACACACGATGGTAGAGTGGGAGTGGCCGTACAGACGTCACGTGATTTGCGGTAGGTTTGACACAATCGGTGGTACGAATGGGTGTGCCACGGTTGGTCACGTGTGGTGGTGTTGGTGGGGTAACGTGTGGCTACTCACACCTCTGTCGAAGAGGCCCGCCAGCATGGAAGAGGCAGACCGCGGCACCCCTCCTCCTAGCAGAGTCCCACTCGTGGGACGTTTGGGACGCCGCTTCTGGCAGCAGTGGCGTGGGCAAATCCATTGCAGGGGCTGCGCCTTTAAGCGTGAACTATTGTCATTAATTGTTTTGTAAAATAAAAAATAAAACATCTTAACCAGTAATTAATCATCTTCAGCTTCAGCAGTAGCAGTAGCATCGTCACAAAGTATCGGAATGAACGGCCATGATCATCATCATCATGACAGATCCTCACACACACGACAGCTACAGGGAAATGAGACGAGTTCAACACGCAGTAGGAGGCTTTCACGACCGATATTGTCCATAAATGAGGATTTTTATTAGATTACGGAAACATAAATGCGTCGTTAAACCCGCCACCACCCGGCATAGCCAACTAGTAAGGGTTGTCACGTAAACAGAACGTGGCCAATTCGTCACTAGTACAGCGCTAACCGGTTGTGTGTTGGAGCATGCTAGTTAGAATTACTCGAATTGTGAATGTTGCGGTGGGTTGACTCTCCAACACACAACCGGTTAGTGCTGAACTCGTAACGAATTGGCCACGTTCTGTTAACGTGACAAACCTTACTCGTTGGCTGTGTCGGGTGGTGGCGGGTTTAACGACACATTTGTATCCACGCGATCAAACCAGAAACACCTCTCTTATGTAAATGATTGCATTTTTTAGGCTCTTACACACACACGATGACAAAGGGATGTCTTATATAGACTTGAACAAACTGTGGGGGCAAGTGGTGTCAGCGAGTAGCGCCTATGAGGGCCTGGCATGGCACACGAAGGGTTGGTGTGGACGGCCTTGGCGCCCCAAGTGGTGATTCTGTTACACATCGCACCAGGTACTTATTTAAAACGATGTAAACTGCACGGTCTATTTTTATTTTACCAGCTAAGGCCCACTGAGTTGTGTAGCTCTTTTTTCAGAAGCGACCTGGCCACAAATGACAGCTCAACGAAGTGGCTTGTCACGTGGAGCTTTATAGCAGCAGGCAAATGCTCTAAACGCAATTGTGATGTTCATTCTAAGCGTGGAAGGAAAAAACAGAAGATCCGAAAAAAAATCCACGCGACCACAAGGAGAGAGACACCGCAAACTCCAAATATACAGCAGCAGGCGTCAGTGTCTTTTAGAACCCACGACCTCCTGTAGGCCAGGCGAGGTAGTTAACATCTCATAGCCACCGTGGCGCCCATTAAAGGCTGAGTCGACTTCGGTGAAACGATTGCACCACCGCTCCCCACGCATACTCGGGCCTCCCATGGGGAAATTAATCAATTTTGCATAATCGCACTCACACGCGCACACACACGCGCACACACACACACACACGCGCGCATACACACACACGCGCGCGCACACACACACACGCGCGCGCACACACACACACACGCGCACACACACACACGCGCGCATACACACACACGCGCGCGCACACACACACACGCGCGCACACACACACGCGCGCGCACACACACACACGCGCACGCACACACACGCGCGCACACACACGCGCACACACACGCGCGCGCACACACACGCGCACACCCGCACACACACGCGCACGCACACAGGCGCACACACGCACGCGTACGCACACACGCGCGCGCACACACACACACATTCGCGCGCGCGCACACACACACGCGCGCACACACACAAACGCGCGCACACACACACACTGGTGATAGGGAATTGAATGCAATTTGCATGGTTGCACAGAGAAATACACACACACACACACGTGCACACGTGCACACACTTATACACACTTATACACAGGTACAGCCCACACACTTCCAGATACAAATACAAAGATCCACCGTATAGCCTTTATCGTGATGTTGGGGCAAGTGCTACCCGGTGCTGATGTTTACTCGTGGCGCGAGATAGTCACCGGGTTTGATTTGAAACTAATTTAAGGCTGAGTCGACCTAGGCGAGGAGGCCCAGGACCCGGTTAGAATATTCGCCGTCACCGATATTGGTCGTGAGCAGGAATCGAACTCGGGTCGCCGGGTTCGTAACACACACACACCGATTCACACACACACACACACCAACACACCGACTCACACACACACACCGGATTAAACACACACCGATTATCACACACACCAACACACCGACACACACACACCGACTAACACACACATACACCGATTTACACACACACACACTGACTCTCACACACACACCGACTCTCTCACACACACACACTGACTCTCACACACACACTGACTCTCTCATATACACACACACACCGACTCTCTCTCACACACACACTGACTCTCACACACACACACACTGACTCTCACACACACACACACTGACTCTCACACACACACACACACACTGACTCTCTCACACACACACACTGACTCTCACACACACACACACCGACACACACAGTCACGCACCATCGCCAATAAGCGTCACCCACTCGCATTCGCGCTCCGAGCGCGCGGCGAAATCTGCATCAATTCAGCCCCCTCGCTGACGGCGTTCACCATAAATAGCAGCAGCAGAAGCAGCAGCAACAGCAGCATCAGCAGGAGCAGTAGCAGCAGGAGCAGCAGTAGCATCAGCAGGAGCAGCAGCAGGAGCATCATCAGCAGGAGCAACAGTAGCATCAGCAGGAGCAGTAGCATCAGCAGCATCAGCAGGAGCAACAGCAGGAGCAGCAGTAGCATCAGCAGGAGCAGCAGCAGGAGCAGCATCAGCAGGAGCAACAGTAGCATCAGCAGGAGCAGTAGCATCATCAGCATCAGCAGGAGCAACAGTAGCATCAGCAGGAGCATCAGTCCGGTAAGAGTGATTTGAATGCACACGTGTAAGGTAGCATTGGCGTCATCATCATCATCAGCAGCAGCGTCATCATCATCATCATCAGCAGCGGCATCATCATCATCAGCAGCACGCTTACGCACGCCCGGTGCGAGTCGCGAACCGTCGTCTTAGCGAGCGAGCGAGTGCGCGTGTTTTTGATCTGTGGCGAGGAGCGGTGGCGCAGCGCTTAGCGCACTGCGCAGCGAAACCCGGGGCGAGCCGAGTTCGATTCAAGCTCACGGACGGTTGCAGCGAACACCTCATCACTGGAGCGGGTCCTGGGGCTGTGCCTCCCTAGGATCGACTCAGCCTTAAACGAGTGAGTACCTAACGCGCGGTGCAAAACATCGTCAGCGCCGGGGAGATAAAGGCGGCCGGGCGTGATGTTGGCCACACCTACCGCTCTTCACAGGTGCTGCTTGCTAACGGCACTTGCCCCAACAGGCAGTTGGGGCTACCCGGGGGGTCTTTGTGTGTTGGTGTGATGCGTTAAAGACGCTGATTACGATGCTGCTGATGCTGATGATTGTGGACGTGTCGCTTTTGATAGTTTTGACACGGAGTGACGCTGCTGCTGATGATGCTGCCGCTGCTGTTGCTGATGATGCTGCTGATACCGCTGCTGCTGCTACTCATCTTGCTGTTGCTACTGCTGATGATGCTAGTTACGAAGTTGCTGCTGATGATGATCGATTTTGACGCTGATGATGATTCCGCTGCTGATGACAACGATTGCTTTATGACACCGCGACTGATGATGCTGTTGATCCTACTGCTGCTGATTACGATGATTGCTGCTGCTGATGATGATACTGACGCTGCTAATTGCGGTATCGCTGTGCTATTGTTGGCGGCCGATGGTGACACAGTCGGCCTTGCCTTGACAGACACAACCCACGCGCGCACTTATGTGAATACAAATGTGTGGTTTATATAATTATATATATACACAAGATTATATCACTCTCTCTGTGTGTGTGTGTGTCAGAGTGCATGTGGTGGTTAGCGCACCGCGCTACGAGCGTGGCGACCCGAGTTCGATTCCTGCTCACGACCAATAACTGATCCCGGGCCTCCCCCAGGTCGACTCGGCCTCAAATAAGTACCTGGTGCGGCGTGTAAACATCGCTAGCACTGGGGAGACAAATGCGGTCGGGCGTGGTGCTGGCCACCCACCCCCTCGTGTACCCGTTCCGGCCTTCATAGGTGCTCCTCGCTAACTAATTTGAGGCTGAGTTCACCTAGGGGAGGCCCAGGACCGCTTTAAATATTCGCCACTGTTATTGGTCGTGAGCGGGAATCGAATTCGGGTCGCCGGCTTTATAACGGCAGTACGCTAATCATTGCACCACCGCTCCCCACGCTATCATTACCACCACCACCAACACCACCACCACCACTACAATCACCATCACTACACCCATCGGCATCATCAATACAGCACAAGCGCCATCACCACAAGCAACATCACCACCATCGCCATCACCATCAGCACCATCACCACCACCAGCACCACCATCACCACCACCAGCAGCTGTCAGTGAGTGGTGAGTGGTCGTTAATCACGCCGTGGTCAGGGAAGGCATGATTAGTTAATTAGTTAATTAATTCATTTGAGCCTTGCAGGGATCTGCTCGAAGTCATGGGCAAGGGCGATTGATTGCTGCGCCAATCAGCACTCAACACACACAAAGATAAAGACAAAGATCCCCCGTGTAGCCTTAACAGACTGTTGGGGCAAGTGCTGTTAGCGAGCACCTCTGAAGGCCGGCACGGCGCACGAGGGGGTGGGTGGCCAGCACCACGCCCGACCGCCTTTGTCTCCCCAATCGCGATGTTTACACACCGCAGCAGGTACTCATTTGAGGCCGAGTCGACCTAGGGGAGGCCCACGACCGGTTCGTCACTGGTGTTGGCCTTTAACGGGAATCGAACTCGGGCCGCCGGGTTCGTAGCGCAGCACGCTAACCACTACGCCACCGCTCCTCCGTCTCACACACACACAGACACAGACACGTACACGCATGTAAACACGCGTGTACATCCGTACATAGACAACGCTTTCCCCGTGAGGCCTGCACACAGTTGTCGGCCACGTGCTGCAAGTGAGCAACGATGACAGCCAACACACACACACACACCACACACACACCACACACACATCACACACACATCACACACACACCACACACACACCACACACACACACCACACACACACCACACACACACACACCACACACACCACACACACCACACACATACCACACACACACCACACACACACACCACACACACACCACACACACAACACACACACACAACACACACACCACACACACCACACACACACACCACACACACACACACCACACACACACACACCACACACACACACAACACACACACACAACACACACACCACACACACACAACACACACCACACACACCACACACCACACACACATCACACACACAACACACACAACACACACACACCACACACACACACAACACACACACACCACACACACACACAACACACACACACAACACACACACACAACACACACACAACACACACACCACACAACACGATGCATTTATCATTTAATCATCAGAGCATGTGTGTTTGCATGCCCACCGTGTGTGGCTAATGCAGACTGGATTCCTTGCAAAAAGTGTCTATTTGGTGTTTGAACATCTTAACACATCCGGCTTCATTGCCAGAAAGGGTCAATACCTACTCTTATTTGTCATACTTTGATACTGGCGAAAGGGTATCCCATGATACGACACACACCTATTTACATTCCTAAGCACAGTTACAAAACAACAACAACAAAGATCCCCCGTGTAGCCTTAACAGACTGTAGGGGCAAGTGCTGTTAGCGAGCAGCGCCTATGAAGGCTACCGGCACTGTGGCACACGAGGGGGTCGGTGGCCAGCACCCACGCCCGGCCGCCTTTGTCTCCCCCAGTAGTGATATTTACGCACCACACCAGGTTACTCATTTAAGGCCGAGTCGACCTAGGGGAGGCCCAGGGACCGGTTCGGATATTCGTCACTGATGTTGGCCGTGATTGGGAATCAAACTCAATCGCCAAGATCGCAGCAGAGTGTGCTAACCATTGCTTCACCGCTCCATGCACACACGCATACACACATGTAGCATATAGCGTGATGTACTTCACACACAAGTACTATATACAATATGCATAACATATACGGAATATCATTATCAACATGAGCCATTATAAATCCACTGATGGCTACCAAAGCCATCGCAAATGCAATGATCCACACATCATCTGGGGCAATGATCGATCCATCATCTGGGGCAATGATCCACCCATCATCTGGGGCAATGATCGATCCATCATCTGGGGCAATGATCCACCCATCATCTGGGGCAATGATCCATCCATCATCTGGGGCAATGATCCACCCATCATCTGGGGCAATGATCGATCCATCATCTGGGGCAATGATCGATCCATCATCTGGGGCAATGATCCACCCATCATCTGGGGCAATGATCCATCCATCATCTGGGGCAATGATCCACCCATCATCTGGGGCAATGATCCATCCATCATCTGGGGCAATGATCCATCCATCATCTGGGGCAATGATCCACCCATCATCTGGGGCAATGATCGATCCATCATCTGGGGCAATGATCCATCCATCATCTGGGGCAATGATCCACCCATCATCTGGGGCAATGATCCACCCATCATCTGGGGCAATGATCCACCCATCATCTGGGGCAATGATCCATCCATCATCTGGGGCAATGATCCACCCATCATCTTGTGCAATGATTTACCTACCATCCGGTGCAATGATCCACCCAGCAGATGGATGAAATTATGCATTCACCATCTGGTGGATGCAATAAACAATCCATTGCTCCATCTCCTGGGGGACGTCCTCTCCGGGGGGGGGGGGGGGGAGCACCTGGGCTTGACAACCACAATGTGAAATCGTAGTCGTTTCTCTGCATCTACATCAGCAGCCGTAACCAAAATAAGATTGCCAAGTACGAATTTGCTCACAAATGCCATTATCAGACAGACACCCACACCCAGGGCGTGCACCCAGACATCATCAGTGCCGGCTCAGTGTCCTGAACGCGGCCACTACGAACCCCCTGAGAGGATAGAGAGAGACCGGGACCCCGGGCTCTCACCCAGGATCTCAGGTCAGTGGCTCTGACACGGCCATTATGAACTCAATTTTTTTTTATTTTACCAGGTAAAGCCCACGGAACCACGTAGCGCTTTTTCAGAAGCGAACTGGCTGTCACAACAATTACAGCTCAACCCAGTGGTATACCGGGTGTACATTATAGCAGACAACTATTCTTAGCTCGTTTTGATTCTAAATGTGGACGGACAAACCAGAGGACCTGCAGATAACATCCTTTGACAACGGGTAGAGCACGCAAACTTCAAATATACAGCAGTAGGCATCAGGGTCGGGATTGAACCCACGACCTCCTGTATACCAGGCGAGGTAGTCAACATCTCATAGCCACCTTGATGGTGATTAGAGAGAGAGAGAGACACGCAAACTACAAATATACAGCAGCAGGCGTCAGGGTCGGGATGAAACCCACGACCTCCTGTACACCAGGCGAGGTAGTCAACATCTCATAGCCACCGTGGTGATGATGAGAAACACGCAAACTTCAAATATACAGCAGCAGGCTTCAGGGTCGGGATTGAACCCACGACCTCCTGTATACCAGGCGAGGTAGTTAACATCTCCTAGCCACCGTGACCCCCCTTCCTTCAAGCAGAGACATCCAGGGCTTGAGCCCAATAACCCAGCAGTCTAGGGCTCAGTGTCTCTGACACAAGAATTTCGAACGTCTGATGGAGAGAGACCCCCAAGTTCAAGTTCCAGTTCATTTATTTGGTATAGCCCTGTGAGCCATTCGGCTCTTGAATCGGGTGCAACCGCAACAAACAAAAAACAAAAAAACATGAACAAGAAAAATCTTAAAGTGACTATGAGACTAAGTGCAAAGAGAAAATCCAAGAAAAGACAGCAAAATATTGCAGAAAAAACACCGTACACCAACGCTGTATGCAAAAATCCCAGTGGGATGCAAGTCAAACAACAACAACCATCTAACTCCGTACTACAACAAACAAACATGACCAAACCAAAAAACTTTTCGAAATCACCAAAATAAAGCCATGAAAGCAATGAAACAGTGATCATAGAAACTGACGGAATTTTCACAATAAACGACATAAACAATATGTACTGACAAAACCATGCAGCCATAGCTGGCTGCATGAGTCACTCCACAACAGCAGGAGCATCAGTAGGAGTATCATAATTTTTCACTGCACCTTTAAGATCAGCACACTAAATCAAAACAGACCCAGGGTTCCAGCTCAGTTGGCGATCGTCATCAGGAAAAGCTTTTCCTGATGACGATCGCTTGTGTTGCGATCGAAACGTCGTAGTTTTTTGTTATTTTCTTTGAACCTATCAACGTGACTTTACCGAAAGACCCAAAGAATAGGTGCTCGCTGATTCAGTGCGCTGCGTGCGGTTTGTGCCGCTACTGGGGTTCGATCCCGGCCCTGACGACCCCTGACTGACGACCCCTGACTGACGACCCTGACTGAGTGTTCGGAGTCTGCTCGGATGTTCTCAGGGACACTGCACCAGGTACTCATTCGAGGCTGATTAGACTCAAGTTTCAAGTTTCATGTGTTAGGTGTAGCCCTGTGAGCCATGCAGCTCTTAAGTCGGGTGCAACCGCAACAAACAAAATATGAACACAGAACACCCCGAAGCGATGACGCGCAACAGAAACATCCTGGAATAAACCAGCAAATATTCCACACAAAAAACCGCATTAAAACCCTGTTTGCAAAAATCACAATGTGGTGCAAGCCAACAACAACAGCAACCATCAGACAATTTAGATTAACTCAGGGCAAGGCTCAGAACCGCGTCAAATATTCGCCACCGATGTTGGCCGTGGGCGGGAATTCAACTCGGCTGACCGGGCTCGCAGTGCAGCGCGAACCCACCATTAGGGACGGGTTAACATCTCGCCACGGTGGCTCGGAGATGTTGACTACCTCGCCTGGTCTACAGGAGGTCGTGGGTTCGACCTCGACCCTGACGATGTCTGCTGTATATTTGCAGTTTGCGTGTCTCTCTCTCTCTCCGTGGTCGCGTGGATTTTTTTTCCGGGTCCTCCGGTTTTTCCCCTCCACATTTAGAATCGACGTCGCGCGTTTAGAGTTATTTGGCTCCTGCTATGATTGTCCACACGATAAGCCCACTTGGTTGAGCTATCATTTGTGGCCAGGTCGCTTCTAAAAAATAAGTTAATATCTCGGTGGCCTTTATCTGGTAAGATAAAAAACTAGTTTAGTTTTATTTGTGTATTTTTTAAGTGATTTGTTTACCTTTCGTGTTTGCGAGGATTGTGTCTGTCGTGGTAACTTCCTGACCCCGTGCCCCTACTGGGACATCTGTGAAACAAAGAACTTCATAGCTCATCGGATTCCTCCGCCAGCCTCAATGCTCTGATTTTGAATCTCTCTGCAGGTGATGGATGTGGCACGGCAGGCGCGGCAGAGCGGTGTCTAGCATGGCATGGCCAGCACCATGATCCACGCACGCCCCTTGATGCCTCACCTGCGTGGCGCTGTGGTAAGTGACAAAGACCCTCACCCCCCCCCCCCCACCGTGTCGCCTTCACGGACTGTAGGGGCGAGTGCCGTTAGCGAGTAGCAGCAGCACCTGTGAAGGCTACCGGCACTGTGGCACACGAGGGGGTGGGTGGCCAGCACCCCGCCCGCCGCCTTTGTCTCCCCAGTGGCGATGTTCACAACACACCGCACGAGGTACTCATTTGAGGCCGAGTCGTCCTAAGGGAGGCCCAGGACCGGTTCAGATAATCGTCACCGGTGTTGGTGGCCGAACCCGCTGGGTTCGTAGTGCAGCGCGCTGACCGCTACACCGCCACTCACCCCCCCTCCCCCGTATAACACACGCACACACAGTCACAGTCAAAGATCCGCGTATGGCCTCTAACAGACTGTTGGTGGGGCAGCACGGGGTCACGGTGAGCGAGGGGTCACGGTGGGCGTGGGGTCACGATGAGCGTGGGGTCACGATGAGGGTGGGGTCACGGTGGGCGTGGGGGTCACGGTGGGCGTGGGGTCACAGTGGGCGTGGGTCACGGTGAGCGTGGGGTCACGATGAGCGTGGGGTCACGGTGGGCGTGGGGGTCACGGTGGGCGTGGGGTCACAGTGGGCGTGGGTCACGGTGAGCGTGGGGTCATGGCAGCGCGGGGTTACGGTGGGCGTGGGGTCACGGCAGCATGGGTCACGGTGGGCGTGGGGTCACGGCAGCGTGGGGTCACGGTGGGCCTGGGGTCACAGCAGTGCGGGGTCACAGTGAGCGTGTGGTCACGGCAGCGTGGGGTCACGGTGGGCGTGTGGTCACGGCAGCGTGGGGTCACGGTGGGCGTGGGGTCACGGTGAGCGTGGGGTCACGGCAGCGTGGGGTCACGGCGAGTCTCCTTGTTCACTTTGCCGCTGTGCCCCCCCCCCCCCCCCCGCAGTTTGTGCGGAGGGGTCCAGCGTGCCGCCGGGAAAGCGAGCGAGGAGCGCATCTACCCGGAGAACATCACCAAGATTCTGGACGGGTTGCTGCAGGGATACGACAACCGCCTACGGCCGGGGTTCGGAGGTGACCGGGGGCGGCACAGACAGTAGGGGGGGAGGGGGGTCCCAGGTGGAACGCGAAGGGAGACGGAGCGGGAAATGAGAAGCGAAGAAAGGGTGGGCAGAGCGCGTCCCCTTTTGGGCGGTGGTTCTCAACACGCAGGAGGTTTCCGCGACCAACATGACTCAGAGTCAAGGGTTTTTGGGTTAGATCGCGTAAGTATAAATGTTGTCGTAACCCTCCACCACCCGACCCGAAGTAGCCAATTAGTAAGGGATTTGTCACGTGAACAAAACGCCAACGAGTTACTGCTTCAGCCCACCGGTGTGTTGGAGAGTAAATCCACAACATTTACAATTTTTAAATCCTTTATATTAAGTTCGCTTGCTTGCTTAGGACCGTGCAAATATTTCGGTCGTGTTTTAACCCACTTCCCGTGATCCAATCGAGCTGACATTTTCCACACTTTTAATGTTCGTGAAATTTCTTTTCCAAAATTTTACACTTTTTAGGACAAAAAGATTATATTTAATTACCAATTGCTTAATGGTGCAATGCAATCATCTGACCCATAGCTGGCAGCCATCTCAAGCCAGAGGACGAGAGGACTCTAGCCGCCACGCAGATAAAAGATTTATAGTGAAAAACTTTGTTTTTACGGGTTAGACTTATTAGTAGTATACGACGTTCCGCTGGTAATTACATCCGGCATTATCGGGCGATAGTGAAGCCCTCCACCTCTTAAATAGAGCAGCAGCAGCAGCATGACGTCATCACTGAATAAGTAACTAAATGGCGTCTTGCTCACGTGACAAATCCCTGACTAGTGGGCCGTGTCTAACCCAAACAGAGTGGCTCTTCACCTTCACCGCAGCCTTTGGTCCTCAATAAGTAAACACACAAAAATCACAACGCCAATAGACACACACACACACAGGGACTGATGGAACAGCGTAGTCGTACTCACGTGCCCGTGCATCATTTGCGTCTTCGGTGATTTATCTTCTCAACAAATCTGCCCACCATTGTCGTTGTGCCGAAGATTCGACACAGCCACGCGCAGCAGCAGCAGCAGCCGTCGCCCCCTGCTGGGCAGCCAACTGAACTACGTCACGTGAACACGTGGCAGCCTCTCGCGACCAATAGCATCCATCATACAGGCGGGGGGGGGGGTAGATATATAAATGTGTCGTTAAACCCGCCGCCACCCGACCCCCCTGGCTCTGTCCGGGACCCCGAGTGGACCCTCCTTCCCTCCCTCCCCACCTGCCTCTGATGTCTCCTCACAGGCCCCGTCATGGAGGTCAAGACCGACATCTACGTGACGAGCTTCGGGCCGGTGTCCGACGTTAAAATGGTAACGAGGCAGCCTCGAGCAGGCCTCATTGCGCTCGCCGGCAACACAGAGTCATCATCATCCAAATCATCATCATCATCCTCATCATAGTCATCATCATCCTCCTCATCAATCATCCTCATCATTATCATCATTATCATCATCATCATCCTCATCATCCTCATCATCATCCTCCTTATCATCATCATCGATCGCTCGTCCCCTTCTCTCTGGTGTGCGCTTCAGGACTACACCATGGACGTGTTCTTCCGACAAACGTGGGTGGACGAGCGGCTGGAGTTCAAGGGCCCCATCGAGATCCTGCGGCTCAACAACCTCATGGTCAACCGCATCTGGACGCCCGACACGTACTTCCGCAACGGCAAGACGTCCATCGCACACAACATGACGGCCCCCAACAAGTTGCTGCGCATCATGCAGAACGGAACGATCCTCTACACCATGCGGTGAGCCGGCCGGCAGGCGGGCCGGGTAAGGCCGGGGATGGTCGGGCGGTTGGACGGACAGACGAACGGACGGACTGTCATATGGACAGACGAACGGACGGACAGACGAAGGGACGGACTGTCAGATGGACAGACGAGCCGATCGACGAACGGTCGGACGGTCCGACTGTCAGACGGACGGACGCACAGACGGTGGGATGGACGGCCGATCCTCCATTCATTCCCCATCCTTTGCCCCCATCTCCCAGTCTTTCTCTTCCCATTTCCGTTCCTCACTCTTTCTCGCCACCGTGGTGAGATGTTAACTACCTCGCCTGGTCTACAGGAGGTCGTAGATTCGAACCGGACCCTGACGCCTGCTGCTGTATATTTGGAGTTTGCGTGTCCCTCTTGTCTCCCCGTGGTCACGTGGATTTTTCTCCGGGTCCTCCGTTTTTTCTCTCCCAGGCTGACGATCAACGCCGAGTGCCCGATGCGCCTCATGGACTTCCCCATGGACGGACACGCCTGCCCGCTCAAGTTCGGAAGCTGTGAGTCCCCTGCGAGCATGAATCGGCGACAACGGTCTGTGATCGCGACGACGATCGGCGAGATCGCGAAGATGGTGGCACCAGCAGCGCTCGTGCCTCAAGTCAAGAAGGGTCTGGGTTCAATACCTGACTGTGTCGAGTGTGTATGTTCTTCCCCCCTATTCTGCAGAGAGTGTGAGCGTGGTGCAGGCCACCCACCCACCCACCCCCTTGTGTGCCGTGCCAGCCTTCGTAGGTGCTCGCTAACAGCACTACCTCGCCTGGTCTACAGGAGGTCGTGGGTTCGATCCCGACCCAGACGCCTGCTGCTGCTGTATATTTGGAGTTTGCGTGTCTCTCTCTCCCCGTGGTCGCGTGGATTTTTCTCCGGGTCCTTCGGTTTTTCCCTGCACATTTAGAATTAACCTCACAGCGTCATGATGAAAAAGAGCTACACAGTCACTCAGTGGGCCTTACCTACCACTCCTACCGCCACTACTACGACCACTACTACCGCTACTACTACCACTACTACTACCATTACTACTACCACTACTACCGCTACTACTACCACTACTACTACCACTACTACCACTACTACTACCACTACTACTACCGCTCCTACCGCCACTGCTACCGCCACTCCTACCGCCACCACTACGACCACCCGGTGTCACAGTGAGTTTACGTTGAGGGCGATTGGTGCGGCGTGGTGCCCGCAGACGCCTACCCCGACAGCGAGGTGCTCTACAGCTGGACCAAGGGCGCCAACAAGTCGGTGGAGATCCCTCTCGAGTCGTCCAGCCTGCTGCAGTACGACCTGGAGAGACACACGGCCGCCAGCGAGCTCATCAAGACCAACACGGGTACCGCCACCACCACCACCACAACCACCAACGTCATCAACACGGTTACCGCCACCACCACCACCACAACCACCAACATCATCAACACGGTTACCGCCACCACCACCACAACTACCAACACAACCACCAACATCATCAACACAGTTACCGCCACCACCACAACTACCAACATCATCAACACGGTTACCGCCACCACCACCACAACCACCAACACAACCACCAACATCATCAACACGGGTACCGCCACCACCACCACAACCACCAACATCATCAACACGGGTACCGCCACCACCACAACCACCAACATCATCAACACGGTTACCGCCACCACCACCACAACTACCAACACAACCACCAACATCATCAACACAGTTACCGCCACCACCACAACTACCAACATCATCAACACGGTTACCGCCACCACCACCACAACCACCAACACAACCACCAACATCATCAACACGGGTACCGCCACCACCACCACAACCACCAACATCATCAACACGGGTACCGCCACCACCACAACCACCAACATCATCAACACGGGTACCGCCACCACCACAACCACCAACATCATCAACACGGTTACCGCCACCACCACCACAACCACCAACACAACCACCAACATCATCAACACGGGTACCGCCACCACCACCACAACCACCAACATCATCAACACGGTTACCGCCACCACCACCACAACCACCAACACAACCACCAACATCATCAACACGGTTACCGCCACCACCACCACAACCACCAACATCAACACGGTTACCGCCACCACCACCACAACCACCAACATCATCAACACGGTTACCGCCACCACCACCACAACTACCAACACAACCACCAACATCATCAACACGGTTACCGCCACCACCACCACAACTACCAACACAACCACCGATATGGCCACCGCCACCAACACCACCAACACAACTACCAAAATAACAAAAAACTAAGACGTTCCATGGGTGTAGCCCAAGGGTCATGCCCCTTTTTTAAAACAGCCGGCCTCAGCAACTTTCCCGCTCTTTTTTTTTCTCCTGATGACGACCGCTTGTGTTGCGATCGTAACGTCGTTTTTTGTTATTTTCTTGTAACCTATCTACGTGACTTTACCGAAAGACCCAATAATATAATTGCTTTTATTGTTCTTGCGATTTAGTCTTTTAACAATGTTTTATTTTACCTGTACAGCACTTTGAATTGCATCTTTTGCACGAAATAGTTCTATAGAAATAAAGACTTGATTGATTGATCGTGTGACGAACGCGTGACGATCACGTGACGGCGGTGTGATGACCACGTGATGGCCATGTGACGATCACGTGACGATGGCGTGACGGTCGCGTGACGGCCGCGTGACCGCACCTCCCCGCAGGCGACTACGTGGTGATGACCGTGTACTTCCACCTCAAGCGCAAGATGGGCTACTTCATGATCCAGACGTACATCCCGTGCATCCTGACCGTCATCCTCTCGCAGGTCTCCTTCTGGATCAACAAGGAATCGGTGCCGGCCCGGACCGTGTTCGGTACGCTGAGCCGGCTCGCGGGCCGCACGGCACCATCGTCACCTTCGTCACCGTAGCTCAGTCGCTTTAGCCGGGCGGTGGTGGTGGTAGCGGTGGTCGTGGCGGTTGTGGTGGCAGAGGTGGTAGTGGTGGCTTTGGTGGTGGTGGTGGCAGCGGTGGTTGTAGCGGTGATGGTGGCGGCGGTGGTGGCGGCGGTGGCGGTGGTGGTGGCTGTTGTGGTGGCAGTGGTGGTGGTGGTGGTGGTGGCGGTAATGGTGGCGGTGGCGATGGCGGCTGTGCCGGTGGTGGTGGTGGTGGTGGTGGCGTTGAGGGTGGTGGTGGCGGCGGTGGTGATGGCGGCGGTGGCGGTAGTGGCGGTGGTGGCGGTGGTGGCGGTGGTGGTGGCGGCGGTGGCGGTGGTGATGGCGGCGATGGCGGTAGTGGTGGTGGTGGTGGCGGTGGTGGCGGTGGTGGTGGCGGCGGTGGCGGTGGTGATGGCGGCAGTGGTGGTGGTGGCGGCGGTGGTGGTGGTGGCTACGCCATACAGCAGCGGTGAGGGCTGTGGATCACCGCACGCACACAGAGCGAGAGCGAGGTGTCGTGCAAAACTCCCACCTCGTGGGTGGTCGTCGGGGAAGAAGCCGTACCGGGCTCTGCCAGGAGAAGGCGGCATAGCATTCATGTGGACTCGGTTGTTATGTTTGTCCTGTTTGTTGTCTTGACGTTCCGACCTGCCCCTACTGGACATTTGTGAAAAAGAGCATCACAGCTCATCGGATTTCTCCAGTGTAAATACATATTTTGATAGGTCTGTGTGGGAATAGAGCGTTTCCCCCTCGCACACGTGGGCTTTTTTCTCCGGGTGCTCCGTTTTACTCCCATTGGCCAATCGCACCTTGATATGCAGAGGATTGCAGAGCTTGGGCAATTGTTGGGTGGTTGGGCGGACGAGCGAGCGAGCGAGCGACTATTTAGGCAGTAGCCGTAGATGAGCGACGTGAAGGTGGCTCCTCGTTCGCCCGTGACGACGACGACGACGACGGTGTCGTCGGCGCGACCGCCAGGTATCACGACGGTGCTTACCATGACGACGCAGAGCATCAGCGCGCGCGGCTCGCTGCCCAAGGTCTCCTACGCCACCGCCATGGACTGGTTCATCGCCGTGTGCTTCGCCTTCGTCTTCTCGGCGCTCGTCGAGTTCGCCGCCGTCAACTACTTCACCAACGTGCACGCCGAGCGCGCCACCAAGAGGGCGGCGAGGATGGCCGCTGCCGTCGCCATCGCCGCCGCGATGGCGGCGCGGAGGAACGCGGCGCTCAGAGCGGCGGCGGCAGCGGCGGCGGAGAGTCGCCCCGAGCCGTCGCCGGAGCCGGACGTGGCCCGGGAGCGGAGACCTCCGCCGGCGCTGGCCGCCTGCCCCCGCAACGAGGTGCTCTCGGTACGCCGCCCCCCCCCCCCACAAGAGAGGCACCACGGCGAGAGGGACGCCACGGTGGCTCGGAGATGTTGACTACCTCGCCTGGTATGCGGGAGGTTCGATCCAGACCCAGACGATGCCTGCTGCTGGATATTTGGAGTTTGCGTGTCTCTCTCTCCCCGTGGTCGCGTGGAGTTTTCTCCGGGTCCTCCGGTTTCCCCCTCCCCACCCCACATTAAGAACCAACATCATGCGTTTACAGACGCGACTTCTTTGGCTGCTACGCATTTCCACGTGATACGCCACTACGTTGAGCTGTCGTTTGTGGCAGCCAGTCGCTTCTGAAAAAGAGCTACAGAGCTCAGCGGGGCCTTTGCAGGTAAAATTCTCGTTTAGTTGTGTGATCCGGCTGCGCCACCGCCACACAGAATCCGCTTCTCGCTCGCGTCGAGAGAGAGAGAGGGGGGGGGAGGGGACGACTCGGAGGCGCCAGGAGGAGAAACCCACAGACAGGTGGCAGCAGCGGCACCAACGATTGCCCGAGTTCTGCGATCCTCTGTACACTCAGCGGTTAGCGGCCAATTAATTAGTGCCATTCCCAACATGCAAGTGGCTTAACTCCATCCTCCTTCCTGCACACTACGCGTCCCACCCATCACTGCACACTCGACCCATCTCGCACAACAACAATTAAAGAAAATAAAAACCCCACAGTGTAACCGGTATTGGCCAAACATCGCAATGCTGAAAATGTTACTCAATTGGGATCGCACACACATAGCAACAACAGCGACAACAGCAGCAGCAATGTCTTTCCCAGACCCTCCTGAACACGAGCGAGGCTTTTCTGGGTAAACAAACGAGCGAGCTAAATGACGATCTCGTGATTAACTCTTCTGCCTTGCCCATCCTCCCTCACTGCCCTCCCCCTCCCCTCCACCCCCAACAAACTTCGCACACGACAGAGCCCCGACCAGAACTGCACGCTGAAGAAGCGGATGAACGTAGCCACTCAGTACCGGGAGGAGGCCTCGAGCCCCCGCCTGTACCGCGGCACCGAAGCGGCGGCGACGAGCCGGGCCCCAGCGCCGCCCTCGCCCAGCCAGGCCCCGTGCCTCAAGGCCTTCTCCTTGCTGCCACCACCGCCACCACCGCAGCAGCAACAACAACAACCACCGCAGCAGCAACAACAAACGCCGGCACCGCCACCGCCACCGCCGCTGCCCATCGACGGGACGAGCAAAATCGACAAATACGCACGGATACTGTTCCCCGTGTCGTTTGCGGTGTTCAACATGGTCTACTGGGTCGTCTATCTGTCCAAGGACACGATGGAGAAGATCGAGCTGTGAGGGTCGCCGCGTTCGCCGTCCGTCGCCCGCTCCAATCGTCGTCACGGTCGAGCCGCGAGTCATCGGCTGCTGGACGAGGCGGCGGTTGTTGGCGTGGAGTGGCCTGGAGCTCGGGCGCCATGAATTCCCTCCACTGTTCCCAATTGTGCACCCGCCCACTGTTCCTAGCACCAGGGCCCCCATACCTGCCCATAGGCCCCCACACCTGCTCGTGGGCCTCACACCTGCCCATAGGCCCCCATACCTGCCCGTGGGCCTCCACTCTGCCCGTGGGCCCCCACTCCGGCCCGTGGCCCCCGGTGCAGTCACACCGCCTGCACACCTGGTAGCTGCCTCGATGGGCCCTGTGATTGATATCTTTGTTTCTTTGTTGGCAGTTTTTGAAATGTCACCGATATTGATATTGGCAAGAATATCAATATTGACATCGGTTAACAATATGGCCACAGTGCCGAGATGTTAACTACCTCGCCTGCCCACGTGGATTTTTCTCCGGGTCCTCCGGTTCCCCCCCCCACCGCCACATTTATAATCGCATATCACCACGCGTTTGTATAGTTATGTGGTTGCTGCTATAAATTTCCACACGATGATGATGATGAGAAGGCCACTTTGTTGAGTTATCATTGGCGATGGCCAGGTCTCTTCTGAAAAACATGAGCTATGTAGTGCCTCGACGGGGCCTTACCTGGTAAAAATAAAATAGCTTTGATAGTTCAACTCATCGCACTGCTGTGCAGCATCAGCAGCATCACCCCCTCCACCTACTACAGAAACCAGGACGGAACCCTCTTGAAAAAAACGGGGGGGAAGGGGCCCTTGAGACTGGCTGAGGCTTTCCGTGGGCAAGTGACTGTACATCATCTTTTATATTCACCCTGTAAATAATGCACCTTGCAGACTACGCTCATCGTGCTGGTAAAAGAATGGTGCTTGACGGCGGTGGGTGGCAAGGAAGAAGGGCGCAGGTTTTGATCAGATGATCACACAGTGGCCTAACCCAAAAGTCAACTTTGAATCACAACGGCTGATTGTTTTGCTCAGTCTAATGTACGTGAAGATATTACAATCTTTTGATTTAAAGCTTTCGTGACTGCAGGGATTCATATTCTTGGTTCTCTCGGTAAAGTCACGTGGAAGGGAAACAATAAAATAATAAAAATATAAAAAAATAAAATTCTCACGACGTTTCGACTGCAACACAAGCAATCATCATCAGGTGTGAAAAACTTTTTTATTATTTTATTGTTTCCCTTCTACGTGACTTTACCGAGAGAACCAAGGATATTAAAATCGTACGTGGAATATTGTACTGTGCTCACTCCCGCTGCGGGATGCTTATGTTTATGTATATTTCGGCAAACGTACAAAACGGAATCCACAACAGATGAACATTCGCTTGTTTGCTTTAGCGCCGTGACGTGCACCAGCGGTGGCGCATTTGCCGCAGAGGGTTCCGCGGTGCGGCAACCTGCCGGCCGTCCTGGTTAATACTGCAGCGTGGGATTAAGCACGAGATGCCACGCGGTGCCGTGTGCTTCTCAGCGTGACGGCATTCCAATGCGGGGCCGGCGTCACGCTTCAGTGCCCCAAGGGATCGCACCGCAAATTCACCCGGCAGAATGATTAGCCCGCTTGCAGGCCAGATGCTGCATACAGCCAGCTGCCACCAGGGTGTCCCACTGGGCTGTATACAGCTTTGTGCCGCACAGAGACAGCTGCCACCAGGGTGTCCCACTGGGCTGTGTACAGCTTTGTGCCGCACAGAGACAGCTGTCACCAGGGTGTCCCACTGGGCTGTATACACTTTGTGCCACACAGAGACAGCTGTCACCAGAGTGCCCCACTGGGCTGTATACACCTTTGTGCCACACAGAGACAGCTGTCACCAGGGTGTCCCACTGGGCTGTATACAGCTTTGTGCCGCACAGGGACAGCTGCCACCAGAGTGTCCCACTGGGCTGTATACAGCTGTGTGCCGCACAGAGACAGCTGCCACCAGGGTGTCCCACTGGGCTGTATACAGCTGTGTGCCGCACAGAGACAGCTGCCACCAGGGTGTCCCACTGGGCTGTATACAGCTGTGTGCCGCACAGAGACAGCTGCCACCAGGGTGTCCCACTGGGCTGTATACAGCTTTGTGCCACAGAGACAGCTGCTAGCGAGGGTGGGATGCTCCCACTTGATCAGACTGCAGCAGAAGTGTATTGAAGTGGTTGAGATGGGACGGGATGCGTGGAAGGCGCTCCCGAGTTTCTGGCGCAACGCGAGTCGGCCCCGTGCATGTTGGACGTGCCTGTAAGTTGAACTTCTCTCACGCTGTATGTAGCCAACCGTGCCAATCGGAGGTGCGTTGGGAAGGAATGCAAACTAAACACAAAAAAAGCACAGAGGTTTTTTGGGTTAGATCGCGTGAATATATAAATGTGTCGTTAAACCCGCCACCACCCGACACAGCCAACTAGTAAGGGTTCGTGTCACGTACACGGAACGTGCCAATTCGTCACTAGCACCCGTGTGTATTGTAGTGTATAGTGTAGTATACTAGTACAGCACACCGGTGTGTTGGAGAGCCAAGCCACAACATTTACAATCCGAGTACGACGTTTCACCAGTAATTACAACCAGCTTCTTCACCGCTGCGGCGACCTAACCCCAAAGAGAGAAAGTAGATGATGATAATAATAATAACGACGTTGGCGGTGAAAGGCGACCTGCGCATGTTAAAGTTTTGCAGTCGGCGCTCATCACCGAACGATGGGAAGGTCGTCTCTGTACCGCTGTGAAGGCCACCCTCAGTGTGAATTTCTCTGGGACGCTTCCCTTATGAATTTCGTACCGCACTTCCGAGTTGATTTTGAATTGAAATGTACTTTCTTATTGTTTACAATCTACAGGGTTTAATAAAACTCACGCAATGACGATGCTCATGATGCTGCTGCTGCTACCACGTGCTCACTACCGATACTTAGCTTCCACGGTCGAAGCCACGATGGCTGTCTCAGAAGCTTGGAGTTGGTGTCTCATCAGCGGTCAGGCTCGCTTGAACCAATCATTTTTAACTCTCGTCGAGAGCGAGAGAGATTACTAAAACTAAACATGACACCACCTAAACTAAAACTATTAAAAACATCTTATTTTACCAGGTAAGTCCCACTGAGCTATATAACGATTTTTCAGAAGCGACCTGGTCACAAATGACAGCTCAACGAAGTGGCTTATCACGTGGAAATGTATAGCAGCCAAATACTCTAAACGCACTGTGATGTTGATTCTAAGTGTGGAGGGAAAACCCCGGGGGGAAATCCACGCGACCACAAGGCGAGAGACACGCAAACTCCAAATATACAGCAGTGTCAGTGTCGGGATATAACTCACGACCTCCTTATACCAGGCGAGGTAGTTAACATCTCCTAGCCACCGTGATGATGATGATAGAGACACGCAAACTCCAAATATGCAGCAGGCGTCAGGGTCGGGGTCGAACCCACGACTTCCTGCACATCAGGCGAGGTAGTTAACATCTCCTAGCCACCGTTATGATGATGATGAGAGAGAGAGACACGCATACTCCAAATATACAGCAGGTGTCAGTGTCGGGATCGAACCCACGACCTCCTGTATAGCAGGCGAGGTAGTTAACATCTCATAGCCACCGTGATGATGATGAGAGAGAGAAACACGCAAACTCCAAATATACAGCAGGTGTCAGTGTCGGGATCGAACCCACGACCTCCTGCACACCAGGCGAGGTAGTTAACATCTCCTAGCCACCGTGATGATGATGATAGAGACACGCAAACTCCAAATATGCAGCAGGCGTCAGGGTCGGGGTCGAACCCACGACTTCCTGCACATCAGGCGAGGTAGTTAACATCTCCTAGCCACCGTGATGATGATGATGATGAGAGAGAGAGACACGCATACTCCAAATATACAGCAGGTGTCAGTGTCGGGATCGAACCCACGACCTCCTGTATAGCAGGCGAGGTAGTTAACATCTCCTAGCCACCGTGATGATGATGAGAGAGAGAGACACGCAAACTCCAAATATACAGCAGGTGTCAGTGTCGGGATCGAACCCACGACCTCCTGTATACCAGGCGAGGTAGTTAACATCTCTTAGCCACCGTGATGATGATGATGAGAGAGAGAGACACGCAAACTCCAAATATACAGCAGGTGTCAGTGTCGGGATCGACCCATGACCTCCTGTACACCAGGCGAGGTAGTTAACATCTCCTAGCCACCGTGACGCCTCAGAGGCGCTAGGAGGACGATCAAGTCGAGGGGCGTCACGTGGAAGGGGCGTCACGTGGGAGGGGCAAGTGGCGATGGTGGCACACCACGAAGGGGTCTGGGGAGGCGCCGTTGTTCAGCGACCCGCAGCGGATTGGCCAATTCCATCTCCCTGCTGCTTCTGCTGCTGCCGCCTCTGTCCCACCCAGTGAAGCTGGGACATGCTATGATCCTCGCCTGGCATACCGGAGGTCATGGGGTCAATCCCGACCACGTTGCACTGCCAGGTCCAGGTCCCGCTGAGCGGTGTAGCTCGTCTCTTCAGAAGCGGCCCAGCCATCGCAATTGATGGCTCAAAGAAGTGGCTTGTCAGCACGTGTACATTCACAAAAGCCAAATACTAATACGCGCAGTTTAACACGTAAGGCTTGGTTCTTTCGGTAAAGTCACGTAGAAGGGAAATAATAAAATAATAAAAATAAAACATAATCATTTCCCTTCTACGTGACTTTACCGATAGAACCAATAATATGAATCCCTGCAGTCACGAAAGCTTTAAATCGAAACGTAGGCTTTCGTGACCAATATTATTCATAATAAAGGTTTTTGAGTTAGATCGCGTAAGTGTAAATGTGTTCATCTTCTTGGTTCTTTCGGTAAAGTCACGTAGAATGGAAATAATAAAAAAATAATACAAAATAAAACATAATAAAATAATTCTCACGACGTTTCGGCCTGTCAAGAAGACAGAGTCTGAATGACACGCCCCAGGCTTGGAGCGTCTATTTAAGCTGGGATGGAGGGGGAAGAGCGCCTTGACAAAATAATTTGCACATCAAGAGGAATTTAGCATATTTATGGATAGCATTAGAAGAAGTTACAGTAGCAGAGGTTAGTGTAAATGCGTTTGGTATTACCTTAGAGTCGCGGCATCTCTTCAGAAAGGTGAGAGACTCGATTAGCTGAGCCTTCTTATCCCGGAGTTTGTTGAAGGATCTTAAATAGATGGCAATTCCAAAACTAGCCGACCATTGTCTACATAACACGTATTTCTTATGGAGAGGTGACTTCTTTAAACAAAAGAAAGGAGCAGAAATGAGCTCTCCTTTGTCTCCTGCTATTGCGAATCTGTACATGGAAGACTTTGAAGCAAGAGTACATTAAAACCATCTTTTTGGTTTAGATATGTAGATGACACTTTGGTTGTCTGGCCACTTAATGAATTTCTAAATCATCTCAATTCGCAAAACCCGCCCATCCAGTTCACCATGGAAATGGAGGTGGCTAACACACTCCCATTCCTGGATATGTTGCTTGGACGCGGCCTAAATGGTAAAATAACAGACAGCGTTTACCGAAAGGGAACGCACACTGATGCCTATCTGAATGCAGATTTGCATCATCAAGACACTCATACATCGGGCTAAAACAGTGTGAGATGGTGAACGTCTGAGGATAGAGATTAAACATGTTAAAGAATGGCGACAATCATGCTCAAATTAACAGAGCATTGAATGCCAAACTAAGATCGAACAGCAATACTGCTGAAAGCGATCAGGTTATTAAAACAATTAAGATACCATATTTTGCGGGAGTAATTGACAAATTAGCTCGCGTTTTGGAAAAACTACAAATCAGAGTAAATTTGACACGGTACACAAATAAAAAAAAATGTGTATCTTGTACTAAAGATGAATTGCCTAAGTTATCAACAGAAGGTGTGTTTCGGATTATTTGCTTTAGTGCCAGATGCTATATTGGACAGCCGGGACGTAACATTAGCGTAAGACTAAAACAACAGCAAATACATCATAAATACTCTCAAACGCAGCTGTCGGCAGTTGAAAAACAAGCTTGCCAACAAGGAAACTCATTTGATGTTGATAACGCTGAAGTGTCGTGTCAAACTAATTATTACTGGCCGAGACTAATTCGAGAATCCATTGAAATTGAGAGAAACACAAATATTTTCCACCGCTCTTACAGCTACAGCCTTAGTGCGGCCTCGAAGCGTCTTATTAAGTAATATATCTTACAACTGCATTACTTAAAGAGGAAACACATGCTAACTAACTTATTACTAATATATTATACAATTACAATACCCCCCCCCCTCTCCTCCGCCTCTGATCTCTGCTGCACTATTTAAGACCGGACGCAGGTGGAGGGCTTCACTATTCTGGCAAATCGCCCGATGATGCTGGATGTAATAACCAGCGAAACGCATTCAAATTGTAAATGTTGTAGATTTGCTTTCCAAACACACCGGTGGGCTGAAGTAGTGAACTTTTTGCGCGTTATTTACGTGACGACCTTAACTGGCTGTGTAGGGTGGTGGAGGGTTACGAAACATTTATACTTTTGCGATCGAAGCCAAAAAGCTTTATGATAACGAATAAATGCACGTGGATTCTACATGTGGCGGGGGAAACCGGAGGACCCGGAGAAAAATCCACGGGGAGAGAGAGACACGCAAACTCCAAGTATACAGCAGCAGGCGTCAGGGTCGGGATCGAACCCACGCGCTCCTGTGTACCAGGCGAGGTAGTCAACATCTCCGAGCCACAGTGGCAACAGGCGTAGCCCTCCAATTGCATTGCTCCTGAAAGCTCAAAATAATTCAATCTGAAACGATGATCAAAAAGACAAAGACCCCCCGTATAGCCTGTAACAGACTGTAGGGGCAAGTGCTGTTAGCGAGCACCTATGAGGGCCAGAACGGCACACGAGGGGGCGGGTGACCAACACCACGCCCGGCAGCCTTTGTCTCCCCAGTGGCGATGCTGACACACCGCTACACCAGGTACTCATTTGAGGCTGAGTCGACCTAGGGGAAGGCCCAGGATCGGTTCAGATCATCGTCACTGGCGGTGTTGGCCGTGAGCGGGAATTGAACTCGGGTCGCCAGGTTTGTAGCGCAGCGTAGCGCTAACCACTACACTACTGCTCCCCACAATAATCGCACACAGACACACACAAACAGACACACACACAGACACACACACAGACACACAGACACACACGTGGCCTTTAGTGAGACCCCTGGTGACCTTTAGTGAAGCCCCTGGTGGCCTTTAGTGAAGCCCCTGGTGGCCTTTAGTGAGACCCCTGGTGACCTTTAGTGAGACCCCTGGTGACCTTTAGTGAGACCCCTGGTGGCCTTTAGTGAGACCCCTGGTGGCCTTTAGTGAAGCCCCTGGTGGCCTTTAGTGAGACCCCTGGTGGCCTTTAGTGAGACCCCTGGTGGCCTTTAGTGAGACCCCTGGTGGCCTTTAGTGAGGCCCCTGGTGGCCTTTAGTGAGACCCCTGGTGGCCTTTAGTGAGACCCCTGGTGGCCTTTAGTGAGACCCCTGGTGGCCTTTAGTGAGACCCCTGGTGGCCTTTAGTGAGACCCCTGGTGGCCTTTAGTGAGGCCCCTGGTGACCTTTAGTGAGACCCCTGGTGGCCTTTAGTGAGACCCCTGGTGACCTTTAGTGAGACCCCTGGTGGCCTTTAGTGAGGCCCCTGGTGACCTTTAGTGAGACCCCTGGTGACCTTTAGTGAGACCCCTGGTGGCCTTTAGTGAGACCCCTGGTGGCCTTTAGTGAGACCCCTGGTGACCTTTAGTGAGGCCCCTGGTGACCTTTAGTGAGACCCCTGGTGACCTTTAGTGAGGCCCCTGGTGACCTTTAGTGAGACCCCTGGTGGCCTTTAGTGAGACCCCTGGTGGCCTTTAGTGAGGCCCCTGGTGACCTTTAGTGAGACCCCTGGTGACCTTTAGTGAGACCCCTGGTGGCCTTTAGTGCGGCCCCTGGTGACCTTTAGTGAGACCCCTGGTGACCTTTAGTGAGACCCCTGGTGGCCTTTAGTGAGGCCCCTGGTGACCTTTAGTGAGACCCCTGGTGGCCTTTAGTGAGACCCCTGGTGGCCTTTAGTGAGGCCCCTGGTGGCCTTTAGTGAGACCCCTGGTGACCTTTAGTGAGACCCCTGGTGGCCTTTAGTGAGGCCCCTGGTGGCCTTTAGTGAGACCCCTGGTGACCTTTAGTGAGACCCCTGGTGACCTTTAGTGAGACCCCTGGTGGCCTTTAGTGAGGCCCCTGGTGACCTTTAGTGAGACCCCTGGTGGCCTTTAGTGAGACCCCTGGTGACCTTTAGTGAGACCCCTGGTGGCCTTTAGTGCGGCCCCTGGTGACCTTTAGTGAGACCCCTGGTGGCCTTTAGTGAGACCCCTGGTGGCCTTTAGTGAGGCCCCTGGTGGCCTTTAGTGCGGCCCCTTGTGACCTTTAGTGAGACCCCTGGTGGCCTTTAGTGAGGCCCCTGGTGGCCTTTAGTGAGGCCCCTGGTGGCCTTTAGTGCGGCCCCTGGTGACCTTTAGTGAGACCCCTGGTGGCCTTTAGTGAGGCCCCTGGTGACCTTTAGTGAGACCCCTGGTGACCTTTAGTGAGACCCCTGGTGACCTTTAGTGAGACCCCTGGTGACCTTTAGTGAGGCCCCTGGTGACCTTTAGTGAGACCCCTGGTGACCTTTAGTGAGGCCCCTGGTGGCCTTTAGTGAGGCCCCTGGTGGCCTTTAGTGAGGCCCCTGGTGACCTTTAGTGAGACCCCTGGTGACCTTTAGTGAGGCCCCTGGTGACCTTTAGTGAGACCCCTGGTGACCTTTAGTGAGGCCCCTGGTGGCCTTTAGTGAGACCCCTGGTGGCCTTTAGTGAGGCCCCTGGTGACCTTTAGTGAGACCCCTGGTGGCCTTTAGTGAGACCCCTGGTGGCCTTTAGTGAGACCCCTGGTGACCTTTAGTGAGGCCCCTGGTGACCTTTAGTGAGGCCCCTGGTGACCTTTAGTGAGATCCCTGGTGGCCTTTAGTGAGACCCCTGGTGGCCTTTTGTGGAATCCCTGGTGACCTTTAGTGAGGCCCCTGGTGGCCTTTAGTGAGATCCCTGGTGGCCTTTTGTGAGATCCCTGGTGACCTTTAGTGAGACCCCTGGTGGCCTTTTGTGAGACCCCTGGTGACCTTTAGTGAGGCCCCTGGTGACCTTTAGTGAGGCCCCTGGTGACCTTTAGTGAGATCCCTGGTGGCCTTTAGTGAGACCCCTGGTGACCTTTAGTGAGATCCCTGGTGACCTTTAGTGAGGCCCCTGGTGGCCTTTTGTGAGATCCCTGGTGGCCTTTAGTGAGACCCCTGGTGACCTTTAGTGAGACCCCTGGTGACCTTTAGTGAGGCCCCTGGTGGCCTTTAGTGAGACCCCTGGTGACCTTTAGTGCGGCCCCTCCTCATCATCATCATCATCAACACCTCCCCATCATCATCACCATCATCGTGCTGCTGTCAAACCCCCAATGGTTTCAAATGTGTGGCGTCCCTCGTACCGACGACGTCTTCCCGGTGCAAAGTGGTCGCGCCTCTCTGGGAATTAGCGAAGGGCGCTGGGGTCCCAGTTGGACACGACATTACATCGTGACACACAACTCGCCATAGCCACGAGCGTCGGTGTGGAGAATGTAAATAGTGGAAGAGATACGCTGACGACGCGACACTGTTGAAACCAGCAAGGTGGTGTTGTGGTGGTGGGTCAAGCACGTTGTGTGTAAGGGGCCGTCCATAAATGACGTCACGCGATTTTGGACGATTTTTGACCCCCCCCCCCTCGTCACACGGCGTCACAAAAAGTCAGACCCCCCCTCAAATATGACGTCACAAAGCTCTGCCCCCCCCCCCAAATAAAACATGCTTCAAATCGCTTTAAACTATTGTCATTGTAGTGCGTATTTAATGTGGCGCTGCACTCTGATGTTGTAGGAGAAAACATTTATTAAAAAGTCTATTTAATTAAGTAGAACGTGTTGTCTATATTTATTTAAAGTTGCGCATTTTGATGTGAAGTCCCATTTCTAAAACCTCCCCCGCCTCGTCACACATCGTCACAAATATCTGACCCCCCCCCCCCCAGGTGCGTGACGTCATTTATGGACGGCCCCTAATGAGTGATCAGACCACCTCGCGCCTTGTCACACACCAACAGCAACTTGGATACTCGCAAAACTCTCTCTTCTCTCTCGGGTCTGCTGCCTATAATCTGTGCCGTCTCTCACGGGGAATCTGTCAATGTCATTTACGCTTCGCCCTTACTCAGTGGTGGTGAGATGTTAACTACCTCGCCTGGTACACAGGAGGTCGTGGGTTCCATCCTGACCCTGACAATCTGCATATTGGGGGTGCCACGGTGGTGAGATGTTAACTACCTCGCGTGGTACACAGGAGGTCGTGGGTTCAGTCCTGACCCTGACGATCTGAATATTGGGGGTGCCACGGTGGTGAGATGTTAACTACCTCGCCTGGTACACAGGAGGTCGTGGGTTCGATCCAGACCCTGACAGCCTGTATATTGTCTTCGGAGTTTGTTCTTCCCATGGTTGGGTGGGTTTTATCGGGGTCCTCCGGTTTTTCCCTCCACATTTACAATAATCACGCGTTTAGAGTACTTGTGCTGCTGGTGTGCATTTCCACACACAGGGTGAAAGTCGCTTCGTCAAGTCATCATTGGTGATGGGCAGGTCGCTTCTGAAGAAAGAGCTAAACAGTATCGTATAGCTCAGTGGGACCTTACCTGGTAAAACAATACAATTAGTCGTTTTAGTTTATAATACAGGTTCCAAAAAACCCCTGTGTTATGGATGATATTGGTCTAGAAAGCCTACGACGTGTTCCACAGCGTTAGTTTAGTATCCGCGAGGCAACACCAGCCCTACCCGGCAGGGGTCGTGCTACAGTGAGATGTATACAATGTCATTGGTATTCACATCAGCAAGTCGCCTCGCGTTCCTGAGTGCCTCGCTGGGGCTGAGAGAATTACTGTGTTGCGGGAGGCAGCTTGCCACCACAAATCCACAGGTTAGATTCTATCTCCCGGAGCGGCAGCTGAAAACGACGGTGCAAGTGCTGGGCCATCCCTCACGTTAAAGCGCGCCCTCGTCACCCCCCAAAGCGCGGTGCCCGGGGCGTCCCCCCCCCCCCCGGTTAATCGTTACCCTAAGGGACGGCTCTGGGGTGAGTGGTCAGAAACCCTACCCCACAACTGCCTCTGTGCACCAGGGCAGTGTGGAGGCTCACTCTCAACCACCTCTCCTACCAAGACGTCAGGCCGGCGTGGAAGAGTAGACCAAGGGTAACCTCGACTAGAGGCTGCTGCTGCAGCAAAGCTCGCTCACTCCCAGTGTAAGCACCGCACGGGTGTGAACTTCTTTCGCGCCGTACGTTGGAGGGCTCTCTGCCTCGCAAGATTCAACGACTAATCGCTGCCCCCCCACCACCACCACCACCACTCCCGCCTCGCGTTGTCGGGAGAGCGCAGAGCGCTCGGCAGCAGCAGCAGCAGCGGCAGCAGCAGCAGCGTCAGCTCGCCACGGGCACACAACGCAACGAAAAGAACCGCCTCTTTGTTTTTTTCTGCAACAAAATTCGTTCAAATAAATATCGTGTTTGTGTCGAATTTTTTTTATTTTTTTACGTCGCTTCACGTCCACCACGGAAATATATTTCGTATTTTGTCGCCGCTGCATTGTTTGGTTGGCGTCGAGCGGCGCTGGTTTCCACGTTCGACGCGGAGCCCGGACAAAGCCGAGAGAGGTAAAATCAACGCCGCCGCCGCCACCGCCGCTACCACCGCCGTTAGTTTTCTCTGGAATATCGCGGGTTTTTTTTTAAATGAACGGGACTCGTCGCGCGCATTGCGATTTTATTTTGTGCGTTTTGTTTTTAGGTTGTGAAGGGAATTTTTTTTTTAATGAAATTGCGCGGAAATTCGTTCAGCTACGCGTGTTGACTATCAATGGCAACAACTGTAATGTTACGCATGAATATATATTACATTTAAACAAATGTGTATTTTTGCGTTGAATATCCTTTTTGTGTTACATTTATTCAATTGTTGTTGCCATTATATATTTAGCAATGTAAGATGGAATTTATAAGGATATTTTTAAAATATATTTACGTGGTGCGATTTATGTGGCTGTGCCCTTTAAGGGTCCAGATGTGGTGACCAGCCCAAACCCAGCCTAAAATTCCAATGTCATGAATACAGATGATTTAACGATTAATATATCAATTGATATACACTACGAACAACAACTGCATAAAATGTTTGTATTTAATAATTTACAATGATAGACGCACATTCGCATGTACATACTACTTTTTACTATTTACGTTGCATTGATAATTGGCACACATCTTTCGTATGATTGCCACTTATTTGCATACGATCCATATATTGCTCCCAATTTAGAGGCCTCGCTTACAGCAAGATGGCTTAAGATCATTGCGTTAATAAATACGTAAAATAGATGGCAATTCAGCAATGTTGTGATTTAAAGTAACACAATTGTGTTTCTTAAACAATTTGTCAGAAATTGAATGGGAGGGGGGGGTGTGTTAGGCTTGCTGGGTTGGGTGTGGGATGAGAGGGCCGTGTGTCTGTGTGTGTCTGTGTGTGTGTCTGTGTGTGTCTGTCTGTGTGTCTGTGTGTGTCTGTGTGTGTGTCTGTGTGTGTGTGTGTCTGTGTGTGTGTCTGTCTGTGTGTGTGTCTGTGTGTGTGTCTGTGTGTGTCTGTCTGTGTGTGTGTGTCTGTGTGTCTCTCTCTATGTCTGTCTGTCTGTGTGTGTGTCTGTCTGTGTGTGTCTGTGTGTCTGTGTGTGTGTCTGTATGTGTGTCTGTGTGTGGGGAGTGGTGGTGTAGCGGTTAGCGCGCTGTGCTACGAACCCGGCGACACGAGTTCGATTCCTGCTCACACCCAACACCGATGATGATTATCCGAACCGGTCCTGCGCCTCCCCTAGGTCGACTCGGCCTCAAATGAGTACCCGGTGCGGTGTGTAAACATCGCCATTGGGGAGACAAAGGCGGTCGGGCGTAGCGCTGGCCCACCCACCCCCTGTGAAGGCTATACGGGGGATCTTTGTATGTCTGTGGGGCAAGCTGGGCCATGTAGCCCGCATGCCCAGCCACCGGATAGAGAGGGGGCTAAACAGGCGCGGCACGGGCTAGAGAGGAGATGAAGTGATGGGTGAGTGGGTGGGTGGGTGAGTGTGTGAGTGAGTGGGTGAATGAGTGACACGGACTAGAGAAGAGATGGAGTGATGGGTGAGTGGGTGGGTGAGTGGGTGGGTGAGTGGCACGGCCTGGAGATGAGATGGAGTGATGGGTGAGTGAGTGGGTGAGTGACACGGGCTAGAGAAGAGATGGAGTGATGGGTGAGTGAGTGGGTGAGTGACACGGGCTCGAGAAGAGATGGAGTGATGGGTGAGTGAGTGGGTGAGTGACGCGGCCTGGAGAAGAGATGGAGTGATAGGTGAGTGGGTGAGTGAGTGACATGGGCTAGAGAAGAGATTGAGCGATGGGTGAGTGAGTGGGTGAGTGACGCGGGCTAGAGAAGAGATGGAGTGATGTGGTACAGGAGGACGTGGAGCTGAGTGGACTTGCCGATGACTGGTACCAGCGGTGTCAAGATCGGCCTCTGTGAAGGAGGCTCGTGAAGGACGCTGCTACTGGGCAGTTGGAGGCAGTCGCCCTCCAACAACAACAGAGGGCAAGCGGAGCGACGCTCACAACAACGAGCGGAGCGCCGGGTATAAAACGCAGCGAGTTGGCACAGTAAGGGGCACGGGTGGTGCATCTCAGTCAGTCGACCCATGACACCTGGGTCTGACCTCTTGCCAGCAGACGTTCGACACTGCACGTGGCCTTAACGTGCACCTAGCCTGGCACAAGCGCCGTGGTGACGCCACCGGCACTTCGTAGCGAATGGCGGCTGTTATGGGGGAAGCGTGCGTTTGTGACTTCTACTCACTCTGTTACGTGCAGTTGTGCAAGAGATCTCCGTTGCAAACTCATTTCTTTAGAAGCGCTTTTTGTGTGCGTTTAGTTTGTTGTCCTTCCCCCAGAACCTCCCATTAGGGACGGTTGGCTACGTACGGTGTGAAAGAAGTTCAAAGTACATGCAATGCATGCATGTTCAAGACCGAACCAGGAGGAGGATTTCTCCGACAACTCTGGCTGCCGCCTGATGAGGCTCATTGTCATTACCAGCGAAACGTCGGACTCGAATTCTAAATGTTGTGTGTTTAGTCTCCAACACACCGGTTAGTGCTGAACTCATAACTACGTGTTGTTGACGTGACAACCCTTACTAATTGGCTGTGTCGTGTGGTGGCGGGTTTAACGACGCATTTATATTCACGCGATCTCACCCACAAACCTCTATTATGGGCATGCATGCATATGGGCACATGCTTACCTTTGTGTGTGCGTGTCTGTGGGCATGCGTGTGATGAGTGCACTGCGCTACGAACCCGGCGACCCGAGTTCGATTCCCACTCACTGCTCACAATGACGAATATTTGAAATGGTCATGGGCCTCTGCTAGGTCGATTCAGCCTTAAATGAGTATCCGGTATGGTGTGTAAATCATGACTGGGGAAACAAAGGCGGTCGGGCATGGTTTTTGCCACCCACCTCCTTGTGTGCTGTGCCGGTCTTCATGAATGCTCTCTGACAGCACTGGCCCCGGCAGTCTGTCCAAGGCTACACAAGGGGTATTTAGTCTCTGGTGTGCATGTCTTTGCCTTCTTGTTGAGGTGTTTAGGTGGTTTGACATCTCCACTATAATTCCACCAATCGGAGTTTGATGAATATCAGTGGCAATACCAGTGACACGTGCTGTCAAAACCACGAACCTCTTCTGGGGCCTCACCCTGGGTCGTGAGTTCATAGCTGCTTGCTAACAGGACTTGTACAACTTAACAGCTGAACGTTGTGGTCATTATGACGATGGATGAAAGTTTATATTATTTTATTATTTCCCTTCTACGTGACTTTACCGAAAGAACCAAGAATACGAATCCCTGCAGTCACGAAAGCTTTAAAACAAAGTTGTGATCATTGTCTATGTGACACCAACTTAATCATCGGCCACGACCAACCCACCGCTGGGTGAAACTCTGCCAACTCCGTCGTCATCACTCACGACTCTGCGATGACGCAATCCACCTCGCGCGGTGTTCTTCATCGCAAGGCCACCGTGGCCCACTGGAGGCCTCAGGTGGCCTTGAGGACGGCCCGTGACACGCGGGCCCCGACAATACACACACGTGACAACACCCTCATCCATCCTCGTGCTGCCAAATGTGTGGCGGCCCTCACTTCTGACGATGCCTTATCGGTGAAAGTGGCGCCCCTCTGAGAATTAGTGAAGATCACTGGGCTAGCAGCGCCTGCAAACAAGCTGATTCTGTCGCTCCGTTTTGACGGTGGACATCCTCTCAGACACCATCGTCTCTGTGACTGGAGGGAAATCGAGGTTTATCTGAGTCGACTTCCAAATTAAATTGCAGTTTTTTGTTGGTTAAAAATTTGTTGCTAACGATTTTTGACCGGAAGTATTCGGGTAAATCCTGGACCGTTCTTAACCCGAATGTTAACTTTTAACCTCGACGAAAGCTTGACCAATGCTCGTATTAACCCACGCACGTATTCAATCGGGAGTCAAATTTAACCTCAAACCCACCATGAGCAACCCCACAAAGTGTCCCGTGTGATCAAATGACACGAGGGTGACAGGAAGAGTCACCCTCGAACGCCGCTCACAACAATGAGCAAGAGCGTTGGGCGGCTAAAACGCAGCATGTTGAAATAGTGAGAAGCCATTAGGTGGTCAGCCGGTCAACCCGTGACACTTAATTCTAGATTTTAAGCTTTCGTGACTGCAAGGATTCATATTCTTAGGTTTTTTCGGTAAAGTCACGTAGGTAAAAAATTAAAATTAATAAAAGTATTTTTTAATTAATAAAAGTAAAATAAAAATAAAATAAAAATCACGACGTTTCGGAGGCAACACAAGCTTCCGTCTTCAGGTGGAACCGTCACAGCACAATTGCTGTGTTGAAGACGGAAGCTTGTGTTGCCTCCGAAACGTCGTGATTTTTATTTTATTTTTTATTTTACTTTTATTAATTTAATTGTTTTACCTACGTGACTTTACCGAAAAAACCTAAGAATATGAACCCGTGACACCTAGGGTGGGGTGGGGGGTCTGTCCCCGTGACCTTCCTGCCAATGGGCATTTGACACTTCACGTGATGGCCTCACAAAGCACCGTGGCAACGTCACCGCCATTTAGTGGCGGAACTGACGGTCGTTGTTGTTGTAAATATTCCGTTTGCCTGCGCGAGGATAGCACGGTCGTGTCCGTGAAGTGCTCGACTTCACTGCAATATTTGTGGTTGTTTTCAATAGGAAGGCAAGGTGAATGAATCATTGATCGGCAACCCTGTGTGAGAATGAATGTGAGTTCGTGTGCGTGGCGGCGAGGTCCGTGTGTGTGTGCGATCTAGAAATGTGGGAAGCGCTACGAACCCGGCGACCTGGGCTCACTCACGGCCAACACCGGTGACGATTATCTGGTCCGGTCCGGGGCCTCCCCAAGGTCGACTCAGCTTCAAATGAGTACCTGGTGTGATCTGTAAAAAAAACTTCGCCACGAGGGAGAGAAAGGCGGCCGGGCGTGGTGCTGGCCACCCACCCCCATGTGTGCCGTGCCGGACATCATAAGGTGCTACTCGCTGAACAGC